ACCAGGTAATGTCTCAGGTTATAACCAGTTTATGACCAGGTATTGTCTCAAGAAGTAACCAGGTTAAAACCAGGTAATGTCTCAGTGTATAACCAGGTTATAACCAGGTTTTATCCATGTAATGTCTCAGGTTATAACCAGGTTACAACCTGGTAATAACCAAGTAATATCTCAGGTTATAACCAGGTTATAACTATGTTTTAACCAGGTTATGTCTCAGGATATAACTAGGTTATAACCAGGTTATAACCAGGTAATGTCTCAGGACATAACCAGGTTATAACCAGCTAATGTCTCAGGATATAACTAGTTTATAACCAGGTAATATCTCAGGATATAACCAGGTAATGTCTCAGGATATAACCAGGTTATAACCAGGTTTTGTCTCACGATTTAACCAGGTCATAACCAGGTAATGTCTCAGGTTATAACCAGTTTATAACCAGGTAATGTCTCAGGATATAGCTAGGTTATAAACAGGTAATTTCGCAAGATATAACCAGGTTATAACCAGGAAATGTCTCAGGATATAACCAGGTTATAAACAGGTGATGTCTCAGGTTATAACTGGGTTAGAACCAGATAATGTTTCAGGATATAACCAGGTTATAACCAGGTTATGACCAGATAATGTCTCAGGAAATATCCAAGTTATAACCAGGTAATGTTTCAGGACATAACCAAGTTATAACCAGGTAATGTCTCAGGATATAACTAGGTTATAACCAGGTAATGTCTCAGGTTATAACCAGGTTATAACCACGTTATAACCAGGTAATGTCTCAGGTTATAACCAGGTTATGACCAGGTAATGTCTCAAGATGTAACCAGGTTATAACCAGGTAATGTCTCAGTCTATAACCAGGTTAGAACCAGGTTAGAACCAGGTAATATCTCAGGTTATAACCAGGTAATGTCTCAGGTTATAACTAGGTTATAACCAGGTAATGTCTCAGGAAATAACTAGATTCTAACCAGGTAATGTCTCAGGATATAACCAGGTTATAACCAGGTAATGTCTCAGGCTATAACTAGGTTAGAACCAGGTAATGTCTCAGGACATAACCAGGTTATAACCAGGTAATGTTTTAGGATATAAGTAGGTTATAACCAGGTAATATCTCAGGATATAACCGATATAACCAGGTAATGTCTCAGGATATAACCAGGTTATAACCAGGTTATAACCGGGTAATGTCTCAGGTCATAGATAGGTTGTAACCAGGTAATGTATCAGGTTATAACCAGTTTATAGCCAGGTTATAACCAGGTAATGTATCAGGTTATAACCAGGTTATATCCAGTTTATTGCCAGGTAATGTCTCAGTTTATAACCAGGTAATGGCTCAGGTTATAACCAGGTAATGTCTCAGGTTACAACCATGTAGTAACCAGGTTATAACCAGGTTATTACCAGGTAATGTCTCAGGTTCTAACCAGGTTCTATCCAGGTAATGTCTCAGATTATAACCAGGTTATAACCAGGTAATGTCTCAGTTTATAACCAGGTTATAACCAGGTAATGTCTCAGGATATAACTAGGTTATAACCAGGTAATGTCGCAAGATATAACCAGGTTATAACCAGGTAATGTCTCAGGATATAACCAGGTTATAACCAGGTAATGTCGCAAGATATAACCAGGTTATAACCAGATAATGTCTCAGGATATAACCAGGTTATAAACAGGTAATGTCTCAGGACATAACCAGGTTATAACCAGCTAATGTCTCAGGATATAACTAGGTTATAACCAGGTGATATCTCAGGATATAACCGATATAACCAGGTGATGTCTCAGGTAATAACCTGGTTATGACCAGGTAATGTCTCAGGATATATCCAAGTTATAACCAGGTAATGTCTCAGGATATAACCAGGTTAGAACCAGGTAATGTCTGAGGTTATAACAAGGTAATATCCATGTTATAACCTGGTTATTACCAGGTAATGTCTCAGGTTATTACCAGTTTATGACCAGGTAATGTCTCAAGAAGTAACCAGGTTAAAACCAGGTAATGTCTCAGTGTATAACCAGGTTATAACCAGGTTTTATCCATGTAATGTCTCAGGTTATAACCAGGTTACAACCTGGTAATAACCAAGTAATATCTCAGGTTATAACCAGGTTATAACTATGTTTTAACCAGGTTATGTCTCAGGATATAACTAGGTTATAACCAGGTTATAACCAGGTAATGTCTCAGGACATAACCAGGTTATAACCAGCTAATGTCTCAGGATATAACTAGTTTATAACCAGGTAATATCTCAGGATATAACCAGGTAATGTCTCAGGATATAACCAGGTTATAACCAGGTAATGTCTCAGGATATAACCAGGTTATAACCAGGTTTTGTCTCACGATTTAACCAGGTCATAACCAGGTAATGTCTCAGGTTATAACCAGTTTATAACCAGGTAATGTCTCAGGATATAGCTAGGTTATAAACAGGTAATTTCGCAAGATATAACCAGGTTATAACCAGGAAATGTCTCAGGATATAACCAGGTTATAAACAGGTGATGTCTCAGGTTATAACTGGGTTAGAACCAGATAATGTTTCAGGATATAACCAGGTTATAACCAGGTTATGACCAGATAATGTCTCAGGAAATATCCAAGTTATAACCAGGTAATGTTTCAGGACATAACCAAGTTATAACCAGGTAATGTCTCAGGATATAACTAGGTTATAACCAGGTAATGTCTCAGGTTATAACCAGGTTATAACCACGTTATAACCAGGTAGTGTCTCAGTCTATAACCAGGTTAGAACCAGGTTAGAACCAGGTAATATCTCAGGTTATAACCAGGTAATGTCTCAGGTTATAACTAGGTTATAACCAGGTAATGTCTCAGGAAATAACTAGATTCTAACCAGGTAATGTCTCAGGATATAACCAGGTTATAACCAGGTAATGTCTCAGGATATAACTAGGTTAGAACCAGGTAATGTCTCAGGACATAACCAGGTTATAACCAGGTAATGTTTTAGGATATAAGTAGGTTATAACCAGGTAATATCTCAGGATATAACCGATATAACCAGGTAATGTCTCAGGATATAACCAGGTTATAACCAGGTTATAACCGGGTAATGTCTCAGGTCATAGATAGGTTGTAACCAGGTAATGTATCAGGTTATAACCAGTTTATAGCCAGGTTATAACCAGGTAATGTATCAGGTTATAACCAGGTTATATCCAGTTTATTGCCAGGTAATGTCTCAGTTTATAACCAGGTAATGGCTCAGGTTATAACCAGGTAATGTCTCAGGTTACAACCATGTAGTAACCAGGTTATAACCAGGTTATTACCAGGTAATGTCTCAGGTTCTAACCAGGTTCTATCCAGGTAATGTCTCAGATTATAACCAGGTTATAACCAGGTAATGTCTCAGTTTATAACCAGGTTATAACCAGGTATTGTCTCAGGTTTAAACCAGGTTATAACTAGGTTATAACCAGGTTCTGTTTCAGGTTATAACCAGGTTATAACCAGGTAATGTCTAAGGTTATAACCAGGTTATAACTAGGTTATAACCAGGTAATGTCTCAGGTTATAACCAGGTATTGTCTCAGGTTATAACCAGGTTATAACCAGGTTATAACCAGGTAATGTCTCAGGACATAACCAGGTTATAACCAGCTAATGTCTCAGGATATAACTAGTTTATAACCAGGTAATATCTCAGGATATAACCAGGTAATGTCTCAGGATATAACCAGGTTATAACCAGGTAATGTCTCAGGATATAACCAGGTTATAACCAGGTTTTGTCTCACGATTTAACCAGGTCATAACCAGGTAATGTCTCAGGTTATAACCAGTTTATAACCAGGTAATGTCTCAGGATATAGCTAGGTTATAAACAGGTAATTTCGCAAGATATAACCAGGTTATAACCAGGAAATGTCTCAGGATATAACCAGGTTATAAACAGGTGATGTCTCAGGTTATAACTGGGTTAGAACCAGATAATGTTTCAGGATATAACCAGGTTATAACCAGGTTATGACCAGATAATGTCTCAGGAAATATCCAAGTTATAACCAGGTAATGTTTCAGGACATAACCAAGTTATAACCAGGTAATGTCTCAGGATATAACTAGGTTATAACCAGGTAATGTCTCAGGTTATAACCAGGTTATAACCACGTTATAACCAGGTAGTGTCTCAGTCTATAACCAGGTTAGAACCAGGTTAGAACCAGGTAATATCTCAGGTTATAACCAGGTAATGTCTCAGGTTATAACTAGGTTATAACCAGGTAATGTCTCAGGAAATAACTAGATTCTCTAACCAGGTAATGTCTCAGGATATAACCAGGTTATAACCAGGTAATGTCTCAGGATATAACTAGGTTAGAACCAGGTAATGTCTCAGGACATAACCAGGTTATAACCAGGTAATGTTTTAGGATATAAGTAGGTTATAACCAGGTAATATCTCAGGATATAACCGATATAACCAGGTAATGTCTCAGGATATAACCAGGTTATAACCAGGTTATAACCGGGTAATGTCTCAGGTCATAGATAGGTTGTAACCAGGTAATGTATCAGGTTATAACCAGTTTATAGCCAGGTTATAACCAGGTAATGTATCAGGTTATAACCAGGTTATATCCAGTTTATTGCCAGGTAATGTCTCAGTTTATAACCAGGTAATGGCTCAGGTTATAACCAGGTAATGTCTCAGGTTACAACCATGTAGTAACCAGGTTATAACCAGGTTATTACCAGGTAATGTCTCAGGTTCTAACCAGGTTCTATCCAGGTAATGTCTCAGATTATAACCAGGTTATAACCAGGTAATGTCTCAGTTTATAACCAGGTTATAACCAGGTATTGTCTCAGGTTTAAACCAGGTTATAACTAGGTTATAACCAGGTTCTGTTTCAGGTTATAACCAGGTTATAACCAGGTAATGTCTAAGGTTATAACCAGGTTATAACTAGGTTATAACCAGGTAATGTCTCAGGTTATAACCAGGTATTGTCTCAGGTTATAACCAGGTTATAACCAGGTTATAACAGGGTAATGTCTCAGGTTATTACCAGGTTATAACCAGGTTATAACCAGGTTATAACAGGGTAATGTCTCAGGTTATTACCAGGTAATAACCAGGTTATAACCAGTTTATAACCAGGTAATGTCTCAGGATATAACCAGGTTATAACCAGGTTATGACCAGGTAATGTCTCAGGATATATCCAAGTTATAACCAGGTAATGTTTCAGGATATATCTCAGGTTATAACCAGGTAATGTCTCAGGATATAACTAGGTTATAACCAGGTAATGTCTCAGGATATAACCAAGTTATAACCAGGTAATGTCTCAAGTTATAACCAGATTTAAACCATAAATGTCTCAGGATATAACCAGGTTATAACCAGGTAATGTCTCAGGATATAACCAGGTTAGAACCAGGTAATGTCTGAGGTTATAACAAGGTAAAATCCAGGTTATAACCTGGTTACTACCAGGTAATGTCTCAGGTTATAACCTGGTTATTACCAGGTAATATCTCAGGTTATAACCAAGTAATATCTCAGGTTATAACCAGGTTATTTCTCAGGATATAACCAGGTTATAACCAGGTAATGTCTCAGGATATAACTAGGTTATAACCAGGTAATGTCGCAAGATATAACCAGGTTATAACCAGGTAATGTCTCAGGATATAACCAGGTTATAACCAGGTAATGTCGCAAGATATAACCAGGTTATAACCAGATAATGTCTCAGGATATAACCAGGTTATAAACAGGTAATGTCTCAGGACATAACCAGGTTATAACCAGCTAATGTCTCAGGATATAACTAGGTTATAACCAGGTGATATCTCAGGATATAACCGATATAACCAGGTGATGTCTCAGGTTATAACCTGGTTATGACCAGGTAATGTCTCAGGATATATCCAAGTTATAACCAGGTAATGTCTCAGGATATAACCAGGTTAGAACCAGGTAATGTCTGAGGTTATAACACGGTAATATCCATGTTATAACCTGGTTATTACCAGGTAATGTCTCAGATTTATGTGACAGATAGGTGTTGGTACCTGCAGGGCATTTCTGCCTGACGCACCTCCGACGGTGCCTAGACTCCAACTGCAGGGTTGCGGCTGAGAGCCATCCTGGCCTCGCCCCTCTCCAGGTAGTGACCCTAGACTCTGCATGGCAGGGGCGTCCTCCTCCCTGAGCCAGGCTTGCACCTGACCGCATACCTGATGGTTGGGAAGCGAAGGTTGAAACCTCATGGGCCGCTTCCATCGGGCCCACTTCAGCCAGTACAGAAAGTACCAGCTGCAGGGTCATCAGCTAGGAGCCATCCTTCACTGATGTTTCGCCCCTTTGATCACCAGAACATCTCAGGATGGTGGGGCAGCGGTCAGGGACGTCTCCCCGCCACTCCCTGCAGCTGGACTTCGGCACTCAGGCTTACTGTGTGGCATCTCGATTCCCCCAACTCCTGTCTTTTCTTCTCAGCCAGAGCCAGAAACTTCCCTTTTCTGCTTCCTCTGAGAGATCCTGTAAGACCTTCCTGGCCTTTGCTGCTGTGAAGCCGATGTCCCTCAGGAAGCGGTTTGTTGAGAGGCCAGCATAGCCGCGGCAGCCAACTTCAACTGGATAGGTTGAGGCTCTCCAGCCTTTCTCTTCACATTCTGCCACCAACTCTGCATAACGGGCCATTTTCCTCTCATACGCTTCCTGGATGTTCTGCTCCCAAGGGACTGTCAACTCGACTAACAGGACTCGCTTCTCAGTTGAGGACCACAGGACGATGTCGGGTCTCAGTGTGGTGGTGGTGATGTCGAATGGGAAGCGTAGCTGCTTGTCAAGGTCAGCTCTCATTGACCAGTCTTTGCCTGGAGTCAGGACCGCTGCTCTGTCTGCTTTAGGGCAGTTTTTCTTGGCTTGTCCCGCTGTTACAAACTGGACCAGCTGCCTCTGTTGGGATGTTGTCTTCTCATTGGCCAGGACTCTCATGTTCTCTGTGTGCTCCGCCAACTTTCTTAGCACCTGGTCATGACACCATGTGTATCGGCCCTGGGCCAAGGCTGTTGGACAGCCGCACAAGATGTGGCGAAGATTTCCCTTGCCTGTTTCGCAGAGGCTACAGTTGTCCTCAGATCCATACCACTGTGCCAGGTTCGTTGGGCTAGGAAGAGTGTCATATGTGGCTCTGATTAGAAAGCTCAGTCTTGCCTGAGGCATCTTCCACAGGTCGTTCCATTTTACTGACCTTGGTAGGAAGCCCTCCCACTTTGTCCACTGACCCTGCTGGCATTGGCCAATAGACTTGGCAAAGAACCTGTTTTCCTCCATCCTTGTCACCTCTGTGACCACTAGCTGTTTCCTTTCTTTCAAGGATGCCTTTGACCACATCTTTTGTGGCTCTCCCCAGCCCAGGCCACGCCTTCCTTGCTGTGTTCTTCCGACAAGCTCTTGATGTTTCAATCTGGAGATTGCATCGTCCACACACTCCTCTGCCTTCCATGCTCGGCCTGTCCGGATCTTAGCCCCAGCATTTCTGACCAGATGGTCACTTGACTGTCGGAGTTCCAGCACCAGCCTTGACTTCTCCAGCCTATAACCAGTTGAGATGTTCTTCACTGGTAGCTGCAGTGCATTTCTTCCAAACAGCGCTGCATCGGAGAGGCATCTTGGGAGCCCAAGCCATTTTTTGATGTAGTTGTTGGCCTTGGCATCCAGCTTCGTGACTGTTGTTGCCGTTATCTCACACATCTTTAGGGGCCACATCACCCGCTGGTATAGTGTGAATTGATAACACCAGACTTTGAACTTGCCAGGAAGGTAGCTCTGGTCAATCCTTTTTAACCCCTCTTTCAGTTGGTCTGTGACTGCAGCTGCCATGTGCTTGTCTGAGAGATCCGCTGTATATTCTCTGCCAAGGCTTCTGAGTGGTTGTTCTGCAAGTACGGGAATTCTCTCTCCTGCCACTAGAAAAGAGACTGAGTCCATTTGTCTACCCTTGCGGATTGAGAGGCTGCGAGACTTCTTGGATTTTATCCTCATCCTGGCCCAAGACAGCAACTCTTCAAACCTTTTGAGGAGCCGTGCTGTACACACAGCGGTCTGCAGTAGGCTTGTAACATCATCCATGAAGCAGCGAAGTGGTGGCAATCGTAGGCCTGCGCTATTGCGCACTCCTCTGACCATAGTCCTCGCTCCGATCAGGATGACCTCAAAAGCGGCTGTAAAGAGGATGGGTGAGATTGAGCACCCCATCGCTATTCCTCTTCCCAGTTGCTGCCAGTCAGTTGTATAGCTCTGCAGGGAATGGCAGGTCTTCACGTCCGCATAATAGCTCTCGATGATGTTCTTGACCCCTACAGGCACATGAAAAAAGTCCAAGGCAAAACTAATCAGCTTATGTGGGACAGAACCATAAGCGTTTTCCAAGTCCAACCATACGACATGGAGGTCCTTCTTTTCTCTCTTGGCAAACTGGATCTGGTCCCAGATTATCGTTGCGTGTTCTGAGCAACCTGAGAACCCTGGGACACCAGCTTTCTGGCAGCTTGTGTCGATGTAGTTGTTCTGTAGCAGGAACTTGGTCATTCTTTTGGCAATGACAGTAAAGAAAATCTTTCCTTCTACGTTGAATAGAGCAATGCTTCGGAATTGGCCGATGGTGGAAGAAACCTGATCTTTTGGAATCAGGATGGCCACAGCTCTACGCCACTCAGCGGGGACGCTCTGTTGTTTCCAAATCAGCCTCATCAATTTCCATAGCTCTTCCAGGACTTGAGGGCATCTTTTGTAGAGCTTGTATGGAATTCCATTTGGTCCGGGGGCGGAGCTCGACCTTGCTCTTCTTACTGCATCTCTCACTTCACTCAGCTTGGGTGGTACTAGCTCAAACTCTGTGGTTGGAGCAGTTGGTTGGGGAACATGGCCAGGGGATCCAAGAGGGAGATGCCGTCCTGCATCGGACATCTGCCTCTTTAGGTGCTCCTCGAGGTCTTCCTTTGCCATGACCAGGGTACCACTCCTTTTCTCCTCCAGCAGGCTTCTGGCCATTTAAAGGGGTCCTTTAGGAATCTTGCGCGCTGACTCTCTTTCCTCTTCCTCCTCTTTCGAATGCGCTCGGCCCTCCTGAGTGATGATAGGTGGCATTTCACTTCATCCCATAACGCCTGGAGGCCTTCCTTCTCATTTGCCTCAGCCTTTCTCCAAGCCTTGCGTAGTGCTCTTCGTTCTTTCACGAGCTGGAGGATTTCCTTTTCTCTTCTACTCATGGCTTTGGACAGGTGTTCCTTTTTCTTCTCCTTTTGGCCAAACCTGCCAAGGCATTCATCGTAGATTATCTCACTGAAGATGTTCACTTTGTTTTCCACTTTGCCTTTGAGGACGTTCTTAAGAGTGGTTGCCAGGTCATCGTCCAACTTGCTCCAGATGTCAGAGTCTTTTGCCTTTGGCCACAAGATGTTGTTTTTTCTGCCAGGTTCTTTCTCCTTCCTTCTGTCCTCGGTTGTTGGGATCATTTCTTCCGGTTGAGGGTTCAACCAGTGGGTTTGTGTCAGGGGGTTCTGATGGCACTTGACCATCTGCAACAGTGGGCTCGTTAGCGCTGTGGTGCTCAACCTGGCTTTGTTCCCTTCTTGTCTCATCTGCCTGGGCAGTGCAAGGTTGCACTCGGTCATCCCTGCGACACTTTTTGATCCCTTGGTGAATTCTCAATCCCTTGAAGGTTGTTTCCTTCATCCATCCACACGTGCACGTCCTGAGAATCTTTTCCTTTGTCGTGTCCGTTCCGTTCGTTGCCGTTGCGTCTGTCCGTACTGGTCCTTCTTTCATCCCACCTCTCGGAGGACCACTGGGCTGTCTTTTCTTTCCTTTGCTTGTAGTTTGCTTGAGTTGGCCTAGGTTGGCCTGTGGGAAGGGTAACTAGCCCGCCCACCCCAGTTGCAGTCTTCCCCGCTGCCAGTCAGACTTTCCTGACAGTCCTCCAGTCTTCCCTGGAATCCAACTGATCTATTCTCAGTAGTCACTGGTTTCCCAGAAAGCAGATTTATGTGACAGATAGGTGTTGGTACCTGCAGGGCATTTCTGCCTGACGCACCTCCGACGGTGCCTAGACTCCAACTGCAGGGTTGCGGCTGAGAGCCATCCTGGCCTCGCCCCTCTCCAGGTAGTGACCCTAGACTCTGCATGGCAGGGGCGTCCTCCTCCCTGAGCCAGGCTTGCACCTGACCGCATACCTGATGGTTGGGAAGCGAAGGTTGAAACCTCATGGGCCGCTTCCATCGGGCCCACTTCAGCCAGTACAGAAAGTACCAGCTGCAGGGTCATCAGCTAGGAGCCATCCTTCACTGATGTTTCGCCCCTTTGATCACCAGAACATCTCAGGATGGTGGGGCAGCGGTCAGGGACGTCTCCCCGCCACTCCCTGCAGCTGGACTTCGGCACTCAGGCTTACTGTGTGGCATCTCGATTCCCCCAACTCCTGTCTTTTCTTCTCAGCCAGAGCCAGAAACTTCCCTTTTCTGCTTCCTCTGAGAGATCCTGTAAGACCTTCCTGGCCTTTGCTGCTGTGAAGCCGATGTCCCTCAGGAAGCGGTTTGTTGAGAGGCCAGCATAGCCGCGGCAGCCAACTTCAACTGGATAGGTTGAGGCTCTCCAGCCTTTCTCTTCACATTCTGCCACCAACTCTGCATAACGGGCCATTTTCCTCTCATACGCTTCCTGGATGTTCTGCTCCCAAGGGACTGTCAACTCGACTAACAGGACTCGCTTCTCAGTTGAGGACCACAGGACGATGTCGGGTCTCAGTGTGGTGGTGGTGATGTCGAATGGGAAGCGTAGCTGCTTGTCAAGGTCAGCTCTCATTGACCAGTCTTTGCCTGGAGTCAGGACCGCTGCTCTGTCTGCTTTAGGGCAGTTTTTCTTGGCTTGTCCCGCTGTTACAAACTGGACCAGCTGCCTCTGTTGGGATGTTGTCTTCTCATTGGCCAGGACTCTCATGTTCTCTGTGTGCTCCGCCAACTTTCTTAGCACCTGGTCATGACGCCATGTGTATCGGCCCTGGGCCAAGGCTGTTGGACAGCCGCACAAGATGTGGCGAAGATTTCCCTTGCCTGTTTCGCAGAGGCTACAGTTGTCCTCAGATCCATACCACTGTGCCAGGTTCGTTGGGCTAGGAAGAGTGTCATATGTGGCTCTGATTAGAAAGCTCAGTCTTGCCTGAGGCATCTTCCACAGGTCGTTCCATTTTACTGACCTTGGTAGGAAGCCCTCCCACTTTGTCCACTGACCCTGCTGGCATTGGCCAATAGACTTGGCAAAGAACCTGTTTTCCTCCATCCTTGTCACCTCTGTGACCACTAGCTGTTTCCTTTCTTTCAAGGATGCCTTTGACCACATCTTTTGTGGCTCTCCCCAGCCCAGGCCACGCCTTCCTTGCTGTGTTCTTCCGACAAGCTCTTGATGTTTCAATCTGGAGATTGCATCGTCCACACACTCCTCTGCCTTCCATGCTCGGCCTGTCCGGATCTTAGCCCCAGCATTTCTGACCAGATGGTCACTTGACTGTCGGAGTTCCAGCACCAGCCTTGACTTCTCCAGCCTATAACCAGTTGAGATGTTCTTCACTGGTAGCTGCAGTGCATTTCTTCCAAACAGCGCTGCATCGGACAGGCATCTTGGGAGCCCAAGCCATTTTTTGATGTAGTTGTTGGCCTTGGCATCCAGCTTCGTGACTGTTGTTGCCGTTATCTCAGGTTATAACCAGTTTATGACCAGGTAATGTCTCAAGAAGTAACCAGGTTAAAACCAGGTAATGTCTCAGTGTATAACCAGGTTATAACCAGGTTTTATCCATGTAATGTCTCAGGTTATAACCAGGTTACAACCTGGTAATAACCAAGTAATATCTCAGGTTATAACCAGGTTATAACTATGTTTTAACCAGGTTATGTCTCAGGATATAACTAGGTTATAACCAGGTTATAACCAGGTAATGTCTCAGGACATAACCAGGTTATAACCAGCTAATGTCTCAGGATATAACTAGTTTATAACCAGGTAATATCTCAGGATATAACCAGGTAATGTCTCAGGATATAACCAGGTTATAACCAGGTAATGTCTCAGGATATAACCAGGTTATAACCAGGTTTTGTCTCACGATTTAACCAGGTCATAACCAGGTAATGTCTCAGGTTATAACCAGTTTATAACCAGGTAATGTCTCAGGATATAGCTAGGTTATAAACAGGTAATTTCGCAAGATATAACCAGGTTATAACCAGGAAATGTCTCAGGATATAACCAGGTTATAAACAGGTGATGTCTCAGGTTATAACTGGGTTAGAACCAGATAATGTTTCAGGATATAACCAGGTTATGACCAGGTAATGTCTCAGGAAATATCCAAGTTATAACCAGGTAATGTTTCAGGACATAACCAAGTTATAACCAGGTAATGTCTCAGGATATAACTAGGTTATAACCAGGTAATGTCTCAGGTTATAACCAGGTTATAACCACGTTATAACCAGATATGTCTCAGGTTATAACCAGGTTATGACCAGGTAATGTCTCAAGATGTAACCAGGTTATAACCAGGTAATGTCTCAGTCTATAACCAGGTTAGAACCAGGTTAGAACCAGGTAATATCTCAGGTTATAACCAGGTAATGTCTCAGGTTATAACTAGGTTATAACCAGGTAATGTCTCAGGAAATAACTAGATTCTAACCAGGTAATGTCTCAGGATATAACCAGGTTATAACCAGGTAATGTCTCAGGATATAACTAGGTTAGAACCAGGTAATGTCTCAGGACATAACCAGGTTATAACCAGGTAATGTTTTAGGATATAAGTAGGTTATAACCAGGTAATATCTCAGGATATAACCGATATAACCAGGTAATGTCTCAGGATATAACCAGGTTATAACCAGGTTATAACCGGGTAATGTCTCAGGTCATAGATAGGTTGTAACCAGGTAATGTATCAGGTTATAACCAGTTTATAGCCAGGTTATAACCAGGTAATGTATCAGGTTATAACCAGGTTATATCCAGTTTATTGCCAGGTAATGTCTCAGTTTATAACCAGGTAATGGCTCAGGTTATAACCAGGTAATGTCTCAGGTTACAACCATGTAGTAACCAGGTTATAACCAGGTTATTACCAGGTATTGTCTCAGGTTCTAACCAGGTTCTATCCAGGTAATGTCTCAGATTATAACCAGGTTATAACCAGGTAATGTCTCAGTTTATAACCAGGTTATAACCAGGTATTGTCTCAGGTTTAAACCAGGTTATAACTAGGTTATAACCAGGTTCTGTTTCAGGTTATAACCAGGTTATAACCAGGTAATGTCTCAGGTTATAACCAGGTTATAACTAGGTTATAACCAGGTAATGTCTCAGGTTATAACCAGGTATTGTCTCAGGTTATAACCAGGTTATAACCAGGTTATAACAGGGTAATGTCTCAGGTTATTACCAGGTTGTAACCAGGTTATAACCAGGTTTAAACAGGGTAATGTCTCAGGTTATTACCAGGTACTTACCAGGTTATAACCAGGTTAAAACCAGGTAATGTCTTAGGTTATTACCAGGTTATAACATGATAATGTCTCAGGTTATAACCAGGTAATAACCAGGTTATAACCAAGTAATGTCTCAGGTTCTTACCAGGTAATTACCAGGTTATTACCAGGTTATTACCAAGTAATGTCTCAGGTTATAACCAGGTTATTTCCAGGTATTGTCTCAGGTTATTACCAGGTAATGTCTCAGGTTATAACCAGGTTATTACCAGGTAATGTCTCAGGTTTTAACCAGGTTATTACCAGGTAATGTCACAGGTTTTAACCAGGTTCTTACAAAAGCAGCAAGTACAAGAAGGTCTGTGTGCGTGTGTGTGTTTTAATTAATGCAACTTAACAGGTGTCAGACATCAAAGGCATTAAGTGACGTACTGTTTGAATGAGAAGCTGCCTTACTTCATCGAATTTAGGGCCTCTGAACTTCTTCCCATAGCACAATTTCCTTAAATCCCAGAATGAAAATAAGAACATTGTAGGAATCCTCCGCCCCTCCTGAACACAATGATGTGTTTTTCATGTCTGTACTTCGAAAAATGTGGCCACAACAGCGAGTTAAATAGGTCTGAGCCTGAGCAATTTTCAGGATTTTCTTGGAGAAAAATTACATTAGGGCCAATGGGAGAGATCTTCGGCTATTTGGACAGTTGGTCACCTGCTGGCCGAGGGGTACGATTTAATGATTTGAAACCTCTTTTGTGAGAAGCAGGACACATATACCTCCATTGATTATTTTTTTATGGCTGTGGAGTGAAATTTGTGGGTGCAGGAGTGATATATTCAAGTGAGGTTTTGTCGATCAGAGAGGGGGTCTCCACTCTAGCGATGACATCATCACTCTAGCTCTTCCATTATAAAGCCTGAAATTTGCTGAAAACCCTGAGTGCTAAATTGTGGAAAAACTAAAAGATATCAAAAAATGGAACACACGTTTAATAGTCGACAAGTGAATGAACATTTTAAAGCAAAAATGAGGTCTCTAGGTGAAAGTATACTGAAGTTGTAAGGTTTAGAAGGTGGAAGAAGAAAAGGAAGAATTGGAAGATTTCCCCATTGACTTCAATGTTAAAATTTTGGCACAAAAAGTAAAAAAAAAAAAAAAAAAGTATAAAAGGTAGAAAGGTAGAAAGGCAAAAAGTACGAGCCCTCATGTCCTGAAGGAGTGGAACAGTTTAAAATTTGAATGGTTTAAATAGCACAAAGTAGGAAGGAGTTAGAAGCGGACGAAAATTGGCGGAATAATAATAATAATAATAATAATAATAATAATAAACAAAATGGCACTGCCAATAATCCTTATTGACTTTCAATGCCAATCAAAACATGTCCCCAGTAAGAACATAAAGTTAAAAAGGGGATGAAAGCGATAACCTCAAGCTAACTCAAACCATAACTTTCTTTATTGAGATATTAACCTCCACATTAAATCTGGTACAGAAAGTGTGTATTCAACTGCTCTTTTCATTTAAATTTAAAGTCAAAAAATCAAGTTGGCTATTTTACAGCATTACAGCGCTTCTTAATATATAAATAAATGATTCAAAGACTGAGGAACAGACTGTGAGTGTGTTTCAAGGGGGAAAAAAAAAGGGGCCGGGCCTTTTTAGCAGATATACTGATTTTCATGTACAAGTGACTTCATGTTAAAGCTACTGTGGGGAATTCTCAGCCGATTATAACTGACTGATATTGATAGGGGTGCCTCTGTGTGGCCTTAAAAAGCAAATCAGACCACCTAAATATCTCAGGTGAAGATGACCAATGACTTTTAAAATTGAGCAGGGAGATTTTTTGTTTGAAAACAAGACTTAACACAATTTGAAAGAGAGGTTATGAAAAGAAGCATAAGAAGCAACACAAACCAATAATTACTCATGGGAGCTTTAAGAAAGAATTGATAACACCTGATTTGTGTCACGTGATGATTTAACTCATCAGGTTACACCAAAATTGATCCATCCTGTGAACAAAATGCGTTTGTTACCTTCTCTGGAGTTCCCGAGGAGGCTTTTGCTGATCTTTATGATCAGAGAGAGGAGACACACGCTCTTCTCTCTAATGGAGTAAAAATAATTTTGATTTGTCAGTAACAGAATCAACTGAAAGATAAACCAAAACTAATGCTTATAACAACACTGAAGTCCAGACTGGTATTCCTATGCTTTACTTACACTACAGCACTTCAAAAACCAAGAACAACTCCATTTCTTCTCCTTCGGTTTCTTGTTTTTCTCCCCAGGTGGAGGTGCTGTGGAGCCAGCCAGACCATTGGAGGTGACATCTCTGCAGACACAAGCACACACCATTACCGTGTGGTGACATTTGTTTTAACAACCTGTAGTGATGTTTTTAAAGGAGTCTGCAGTGACTAGTCAACATTTATCAGAAGCTTTTGTGGCTGCACAAATAAACAGCTGATTGTTGGAGCAGTTTACTCACCTCCGCTGATGGCTGATTAGACTTCTGACTTTTCTCTGTGGAGTAACAACAAATATAAAAATGAAAACCCACTGTGTCAAATATTTGTAGTGTCTGATTTTAAATGTCACACTTATAAAATGATCTTATTTTAACAGCTCTGAAACATACCAGAGGTTGACCAAACAGCCTGTGCAGCCAAAAGTTCGTTGGGCAGCAGTTTTCTGCGTTAGAAGCCTCTGACGCAGTGTCACTGGTCAACACAGAAACACAGGTTGGTTATTTTAATGAACAAAACAAATCCATAAACAGAAATATCTGCAGAGACACATGACAGTCACACAGACTCAAACCATGTTGATATTCAGACGATAAAATACAATAAACACGCACTGGATGGTCTTTGAGGAAGTATCAGAGTCAAACTGAAAAAGTGTCTTTATGTATCAAAAATAATACAGCACACTCACAGTGGTTTAAAATACCTGAAGGTTATTCCCTGTTTTTGTGTTGTTGTTATTGATAAATGAACCCCCTCTTTGTTCACACTTATTCATTAAAAACCTAAGTGCTGAATCTCTTTAAGTTGACACAGCGTTTTTAAAGCAAAGCTTTTTTAATGCATATTATCCGGGAAAGGCCTCATACAAAACATGTTTTTCCTTCAATTTCAAACACAGTAAATTAAAATGGTCTTTGTTTCCCTTACTGTGAATTTCCCCTTGTGGGACTAATAAAGGAGTATCTTATCTATCATACCTGACTTTACTAGTTTTTGACTAGAGACTCCCAGTAAGAGCAAACGATGATAAAACTTCTTTATTTCATTTAGTGTTTTTACACATTTCCTTTGTCTGACTGATTAATTGATCAGTAAATGTCTTATGTGAAGCCTTTGAATTGTCTTATTCAGTTAAAGTAACCACTGAAATGTATCACATAAATACATGTGTCTTGTGACAAAAAGAGTATGAAACACAACACAGTGTAAGTCCAAAATCGAATCCTAAATTTGCGAATCTTTAGATTTTTGCTGGCACTGTCACAGATTTAACTCTGAACTGTCTCAGATTATAATCTGCTGGGAGGTCTCTGTCATGTTTCAAATGTTACACTCTGCATATTAAATGTAAAAGAGGTAAAAGATTTTTTTAGAGACACATTGGTAAACTACTGTTTAATATCACACCCCTATAAATTTGAGTTTGCATTTTACTGTCATCATAAGTTAAATGTGTTTCTTACCTCCTGTTGAAGCCCGAGCACGCAATTCTCAGAGCTTCTCCTTTTACAGGAAAGGGTTGACTCTTTTGTGCAGATTTAAAGAAGAAATAAGAAAGCATTGGTTAGTATAAAAGAAACTGTCAAATAAGTTTCAGACTGACGGCTTTAAATAGCCCAGAAGACATAAAAAAATCTCTTATAGAGATTTCTCACAATAACACGAGCTTTTCTGCTCTTAAGCACGAAGAGTCTTTGACATGGTGGGCAGGACTTTCATGTGATGTCAATGCATCACTTTAAAGATAACCATCCGAACGTCTAGACTTTTAACTCACTGTTGTGGCCACATTCATTGTGTTCATGAAGGGCGGAGGATTCGTACAATGTTCTTATTTTCATTCTGGGATATAAGGAAATCACGCTATGTGAAGAAGTCCAGAGGCAGCTTCTCATTCAAACAGTAGGTCAGTTAACGCCTTTGATCTCACAGCTGTTTAGGATGCAATCATTAACGAGACACACACAGTCTGACAATGTGTGTGCATGTGTCTGTGTCTAAAAGACCTGCATGTACACACAGTTAATATGTGTCTGCTTCACCACCTATCTCCACCCACAAACTTTGAGCTACAGAAACCATTCTGGGCTTCAAAAATTCAGCTCATTGAGGACATTATGGGGTGTACTCAGGATTTTTTTTATTAAACTTTTCCCCACTTTAAAATTATTCTCATTATTCATGCATTATTAAATTCATCAGACAAATCCAAACTCATTCAAACTGATTCAAACCTTTCTGATACTTCAAACCTGTTTAACACTTTAGGACTTCTAATTATTTTAAATTTTTCCCACTTCAAAATCATTCTCATTATTTATGTATGTTTTAATTCTTCAAACAAAATCCCAGTTCTACCACTACAATTACTACTTATATCACTTTAACTTGTATCTTCACTTCTACCTCCACTGCTCTTGCTTCTCTTAATATTTTTTTTTTACTTCTACCACGAGCTCTACTGCTTTGACTTCTACTTCTTCTATTCTAAAACTACTTCTACTGCTTACATGACTACTAATATCACTAGTACAACTACCTTCTTCTAGTACTTCAACTTAAACTTATGCCGCTTCTTACTTTTCTGTGTTTTAAGGTAATTTTCTTCCTTATACAATTTTTTTTTTGCAATTTCAGACAGTTTTTCTAGCCTTATTTAGCATGAATGCAATTTTAATTTATGAAGCACATTCATACTATTTGTACTTCAGCAATTTTCACTTTCATCTAACTTCTACTTTTCTTTCTCCAGCTCTTTGACCAAGTTTACATTTAAACCTTCCTCCATTTTTTTTTTTTAGCAGTTTAGCATTGCTTTTTCAGGTTTCAGCACTCAGCATTTCCACGCATTTTCTGCAAGGAAATGCAATTTTTCTAGTTTTGATAATGCCTGTCACATTAAAGTCATAAACACTGTAAATATCCATGCACACATTTAATCCTTGTCGATGCATCGCTTAACCATCACGAAAGTCTCGACAGTAACACAAGTTTGTATGATAATATTGTCATGAAATCTTACGGTCTCCATGTCGTAGATGTTGTCTTCTCTGTTCAGGTGTTG